CATAGTCCCTCTATCCTCTTTTTCTTTCCCAGACAAAGGACAGGCCACACTGGGGACAGAGACTCTGCAAGCTAAAACCAGAAAACTTAGGCCGAGGAAGCGCAGCTTCCCCAGCTCCCTGCACGGCCACGGGAGTCCTAATCAAACCCACATTTGACCAGCATAGTAGGAAGGCGATGTGGGGAGTGGGGGTAAGTGGTGGCCCTGCCAGGTCGCTGCAAGGCCCTGGGGTCCCTGCCCTCAGTCCTAGGGGACGGATGGATGGTAAGGGGCAGCCAGAGAGCTACCACTCCCATGAAGAGACACTGGTGGCCCTTGTCCCACAGCTCGCCTCAGAGACCAGCTTCTCTGCAACTTTCCGTCCATGGATCAGGAGGGCATCCTGGCTGATGCAGCCTCACCGGTCAGCGCTATACTGCGCCCAAGCATCAAAGACCCTGAGCCTGTCTCCCAGGAAACCCTCCAGCACCCACCCACCTCTGAGACCCTGTAACGACTCAGAAGGTCCTAAGCTACTCAGAACGTGGTCAGTGGGTATCCAACTTTTCTCACTCCGCCTGTAACAGAGGTTTCTGCCGTATCCCTGACTCTACCCAGTGCCTAGCAGGGTCTGCCCCATAAGGTGCTGCCGGACAGCAGGGCTGGGTGCCTTTGCTGGGTGTGTTGGGCTGGGCACTTGGCCACCTGGGTCTCCAGTACCAGCTCCAATTCTCTGGCCATGACCTTGAAGCAGCCCCTCCTTGCACCCCCTCCTGCACCTCAGTTTCTCCAGAAGCTAAAAAGAAGGTGGAAAACAATATGCCCTGGTTGCACCCCTCAAACTGTCCTCCACCTCTTTGGTGCCTGTCCCTCTAAAGTGCCAGGGGGATTGGAGCAGCCCCTAGAGTGAGCGGAGGGGTAGAGAGGGGAACCTTGCAACTTCCCCAAGTTCAACTGGGGACCCACAGACAGGACTCTCGGAACCTTCCTTCGCAGAAGAGCCTCGTCCGGGGACTCTGGGTGTAAGGGAGGTCCCCAGGGAGCTCCACCAAATCCTCAGCCCTCCAGGACGCTTCCTTCTCCAAGAGGCCAGGGGTTCACGAGTGTTCCCCACCCCACCCCCGTGCAGTGCAAGTCCAGCAAAGGAACTCCAGCGTGTGAGGGTATGAGGGGGGGTTTCCCCAAAGTCCAGGAGCTCTGCAGGGAATACTAGGCACCCCTGAAGTTCAGGGGTAGGTCCGCGCGCTGCAAACCCCAGAGCTGGGGCCTCTCGGGGTCCCCGGGGGTCCCCCCTACGAGCTTACCTGGGGTTGCTGCGGTTCCAGTAGACTGCGTAGCGGTCAGCGTTGGCTCGGGCCGGGTCCTCGTTGCGCGCACGCAGCGGCAGCAGCAGCAGCAGCAGCGGCAGCAGCGGGCGCTGCGCGGGCGCCATAGCCCCGGTGCTGCCGCCGCGCTCGCTCGCTAGCTCGCTCTCCAGCCGCCGCCTGGCCCCGCCGTCTCCGCCCCCGCGCGGGCGGAGCACCGCGCACTTGGAGATCCCGCCGCCCCGCCTCTGCGCGCGGCCCCGCCGGAGACCGCAGGCGCCGAGAAACCAGGCGGCGGGAGGCGGCCGCAGCGCGGGACAGAGGCCCGGGTCATGCACTGCGCAAAGCGCTCTCCCGGGCTCCCCGGGCGTGGGGGCTCCCCTCGCCTTTGTCCCCGCTGGAGCTTCTTGGAGGGTCGCGGGCGCCCCCTCCCGCCGCGCCCCGGACCTTCCAAGCCTCAGCCGGGCCCCGCCCCGGCCAGACTCGCGCAGACTCTGCCGCGGATCCCCAGGGTCCCGCCCCAGCCACCCGCAACGGGCAGGAGAACCCCCAGAGCGCTGCGCCGGCCCCTCCGGGGCCCCGCCCTATGCAGATTGGACCTAAGGGCTGGTCTGCGCCGTGCCTGGCATCTCAGCACTCGGGAGGCTGAGGCAGGAGGATTGCCGCGAGTTCCAGGCCAGCCTTGGCTGCAGAGTGAGATGCTGTCTCAAAACAAAAACAAAAATACAAAACCAAAAAAGTTGTAGGCCAGCTGTGGTGCTCGCCTGTCCTCCCAGGACACAGGAGGCCAAGGCAGGAGGATCCAACATTCAAGGTCATCCTCAGCTACTCAAGGAATTCAAGGCTAACCTAGGCTACGTGAAACTCTGTATCAGAAAAAAAGCTAAAGTTCCAAGTCACCCTTGTCTAGCTTTTCACCCTCCTCGGCTGTACATCCCTGAGGTCCTTGGGAGTCACTTCCGGAACTCGGGGAACTCCCCCACACAGGGGAAAGTTCCTGGCAGAGGGACTAGAGCCCCAGACACCGAGCTGTGTCCACCAGATGGGTTTCGCCATCTCGTTTTTCATTTGCTGGGTCCCGGGTCGAGTGCAGGGTGCGCAGGATCCTGGGGCACCTGATTCTTATAGTTCCCTCTGCGTGAGGACAGGGAAACACTAAAGACTGGCAACGCTGCTGGGACGAGCAGGGCCAGGATGGGGTAGAACTTCAGGATGGGGTGGCCTTCTGTGACAAGTTCCCAAGCTCTGTGCTCCCAACACACGCACTCGGGGGAGGGGGGCAGGGGAAGGGACGGACAGGTTCTGAGATCTTCACCCGGACCTGAAGTCCGGTGCCCCAACCCCAGTCTGACCATGACCACTGGAATGAATCCTTGTCTCTGTAAACCTGGCCCACACCTCTTCAGGTTTTGCTCAGGGACCTGAACTTGTCTGTCAAGGGTGTTCTGGGATCCCCGGGGCAGGCCCTGGTGGCCCCCACAGGAGGGCACAGGGCCACACACGTCCATTTTCTGCCCATAAAGGTGAGTGTCTCCAGGTTGCCCTGCTGGTGCATAAGCACGCCCTCGGCATGAGGAGGCAGCCCCGATGGGGACCTATTGACTAGACTTGTGTTAGGTTCTGGCCATGAGCAGCCACAAGGACACCTAGCAGCAAGGCCACATCCCCAGGCCTCATTTGCATGCTGGGGCCACCGACTCGAGAGCTGCCTGCTGCCAGTGGATTTGAGCAGAAAGCTTTCTGTTCTTGTCTGTTGTCTCAAGGTCAGATTCGGAGCGGGGACAGGAACAAAGGCGGCTGTCCCCCATTCTACCTCCCAAGCCTGTCGCTCCAGGCTCCTGAGGACACACAGATAGGGGAGAGCGGGGAAGCTGTTCAAGGGAACCCTATCTGGCAACCACAGAGACAGGGACCCTGGAAGCCCTGTCCCCTCCCTGAACAGCCTCAGTTCATGGGGTCAGTGGTCACTGGAAACCAGTTCCTGTTTTAGAGACAGAGGTCAGGGATCAGCAGGGGTGGTTCCAGATACATCTTGGTGTAGATCTGTCCCAGGTACTCCTGGGGCTGTGCGCTCAGGCTGTGGTCCACCCTATGGTCCCATTTGCACTGTGAAGGCCCTGGCCCGACCTAGCCTGCACCCATGGCCCACCACCTGCCACTCTTGGTACACAGAGCACGGCCTCAGGCCCCTGATATCAGAGTTTGGTGGCCCCCACAGCCATTCAAGGCCAAATCGCCAGGAAGGAGGCAAAAAACATGCAGAGAGAAATTTCTCATCACAGAATAAATTGTACCAGGTTTCCCACCTGTGCTGTCAACTCTTGACTTCCTGGGGAGATGACAGTGACATTCACCTGCCCCCTTATCCCCAGTGGAACACCTGAGTGCTAAGTAGGCTGGTCCCACTGAGAGGTCTGGCTTGCCCACATCCAGGATTGGGGATGGCAGGAGAGGCCTTGGTTTTTATTTTTTGCATATTGTGGTGTGGCCGGCAGGGCCAGCTTATGTGAGTCAGTTGTTTCCTTCGGCCATGTGGGTTCCAGGAATCCAACTCGGACTTAGAGGCAAGCAGCTTTGCCTGCCATGTCTTTTTGCCAGGCCAGGATTTGGGATGGGTACAAGCAGGAGCGGTGTCCCGAGGTCTCGTGCTGGGAGCCACCCCAGGCATGCACACAGGCTAGCCAGGCCCCAGGCCTTCCATCTTGCCTGACAGGCCCTTCTCCTGGCTTTCAGCGGCGCAGAGCTAATAGTGCATTAACCTTGACGGAACTGCCAATTATCCCTGCTAATGCCGGGGTGCAGTGACTGCTGACAGGCGGATGGTGGTGGGGCCACCTTCCCTGTGCTGGCGAGGAGGCTGGGGTGGGGGCTTGAGTCTCTTCTGACCTCATTATACTAATCACCCTGCCTTTTGAAGCTTCAGCAATGACTGAGCTCTGGGATCAGGGGCACAGATCACAAAATTTGTGGGACCAGGAACCAGGCCCATCCCAGCAGCCACAATACAAAGATGGAAGCCAATCAACAAACAGGGCAGAGGGCCACCAGAGCTGTGACTCAGGAGCGCTGGCTTCCCCTGAGTGTGGGCTGGGGGTGCAGACCATAAAGGTTTCCTTCGGGCAACAGGCCCTGACAGCCACTGGAGGGGACAGGCAGAGACAGGCAGGGGTGGGGCCACAGGATGGAAACGGGGCACCACCCAATGGGTACCAACACTCCTAGTAGGCCCAGGCAGACTCAGGGTCCCACCTCAGCCCAGCAGGAGTCTGTGGGGCATGGAAGTGGATGAAGACTGGGTATCCACAGGACAGGAGCTGGGCAGCCAGTCCAGGCCACCCACAGGACAGGGTGGTTGGAAGGGTTCTGAATTGAACCTATTCCCAGGTGGGGTCCTGGGAGGCGAGGTGGCGTATGACTGCCATCTGGTGGCAATTTGTTGTTATGACGAGGCAGAATGGGCTGGGGCTGTGACCTCAGGCAGCAAGTGATCCCTGTCTCGCTCCTGTCCTCCCCCCCCCCCCAAGCTAAGACCATGGCTAACATTGGCTAATGTTGAACTGCAGCCCAGAAGTCCCTGGGAAACTCTGCCGCAGCTGCCGTCTCCGAACAAGTTGGAGGAATAAATAGGTCTCTCTAGAGAGTGACATCAACAGGCAGTCAGGAATGACAACCTCACCCACTTCACCAGGTCATCTAGATGTGACGTCAAGGGGGAGGTTTCAGGTCAGCTACAAGGCCACTGCTTCATTTATTGTCCCCAAAGCAGCGGAAAGGCGCACACTGAGATCCCAAGGTCCATTCGCTCCATCATACCTTGTAGGGCTGCTTGTCACTTATGGGAGGCATGGGGACAGAGCTTTGGGGGCCTCAGGTCTGTGGGCTGGTCTCAGTGAGGTGAGGTCACATTGTCCTGGCCTATGGAGCAGCCGAGGGGTTGTACAGACACCCTCCAGGAAGGTTGACATCAGAGCCCGCAGAAGACACGTCGTCTCTCGTCCTTGTAGCCTACCACCCCCACCTCAGTATCTGCAAGGGGAGGGACAGGACAAGACATGGGACTGAGTGATGCTGGCTCGAGGGGCCTCCGTAGCCTAGTCCAGCCCAGCCCGCAGGAAGAGATGCTCCTTCCAAGTCCACCAGCGTAGGGAAGAGAGACCACAGAAGGTGCCAAAGCTGGTGTCAACCTCCTTCAGGAGCCCTGGAAAGCCAGATTTAGTGACTATGGGTCCTGGCTCTACAGCAGCCATCACTGTAACAGGACAGTCAGCCCTGATGCCACTTGGTCATCCCCAGTGCAGCTCTACTCTGTCCACAATGCCACCTCCCTGTGAGGCTCTCACCTGGAACTCTCCTGGGTCTGTTTCCATTAAATCTACCAAGATCTTCCTGACACCCTGCCTTCTTGACCCTCATTGAGGGATTAGCCACGCCTCCAGCCCTTTACTGGGGGACTCTAGGCGAAGGTTCTACCTCTGAGCTAGACTCTGAACCCTATTTAGAGACATGGTCTTTGCTAATTTGTCTCAATGAACTCCTTCCTACCATCTCAGATTCCTGGTTTCAAAGACGGTCTCTTCCTCGCTGTCCAGAGATGCCATCTCTTCATGCTCCTCTTTGTTGGTCAGAAGTCCATACCTCCTTCGCTGTGGCTTCTTGAGTCTGCAGGGGGCACAGACACCCTCAGAGCCTACCAACATGCTCCTGCCCACTCCAACCCCCAAGGTCCAAGCCACCTGCAGGATGTGAGTCCTTTTGTTGGAGGAGCTACAGGAGCAACTCTGGGCATGGTGAAAGCCACGGAGGCACATGCGCAAACCAGCCACAGCTCCCTATTTAAAGCATAAGCCGCAGTCTGACAGCTAGGAAAAAAATGGAAAAATGGGGCCTTTTTTTTCCCGAGTCAGTGTCTTGCAGCCCAGGCTGACCATTTAATATTTTTTAAATTAATTCATTTTTATTTTATGCACAATGGTATTTTGTCATGGGTGTTAGGTTCCCTATAACCGGAATTAAAGACAATTGTGAGCTACCACGTGGGTACTGGGAATTGAACTCAGGTCCACTGAGCCATCTCTCCAGCCCATGACCATTTAATTCTCTAGGTCAGAGTGTTGAGATGACAGGTGTGTCACCTCTACGCGGTCCTGGGAATGACACCAAGGTCTCTGCATGTTAGGCACAAAGCTTTAGCTGCCGAGCCTCAATTCTGCAGGGTTTGTTTGTTTGTTCTTTTGTTTTTGTTGTTTGAGTGTGGAGTTTATTGAGATAAAGGGAATGGGGAAGGAAACGGGAGAGACAGAGAGGGGAAGAGAGAGAACAGAAAGTGCCTCCTCTGAGAAAAGGCTAAGGGAAGGGCGAATTTTGCAGTTCTTGCAGTCCGGCGCGGTTTTCGGCAGGCCTGTCACAACAGCACAGGGGAGACCGAGGGACGGGTACGGCCGTCCTGAGGCCGCTGCCCACTTAGGCCAGCCCAGAAACCACAGGAGTCAAGACCAAGAGCTAGGCCGGATGCCCGCGTCACGTGCTCTCCCGCCCACCCCACAGTGACTTACTAAATGCTGATTGGACGTGCTAACGCACCTAAAAGCCCGGATGAGGAAGTAGAGCGAGATCAGGCCGCTGAGCCCGGTGATTACGTAGAACAAACGGAGCAGCGTGGGACCCGTGCCCGAGGGCCCCGGGTGTGTATAATTGCGAGGTACAGCTGTCCAGCTCGAGTTTTCTGTGGAACCCGGGATGGCGCACGGGAGGAACAGCAGCAGCAGCAGCAGCGTGCGCGGCGCCATGCCGAAGCCGAGGCGGAAGTGAGCACAACCCCGCCCCACCCCGCCCCCAATGCCCCGCGCGTCTGCCGGTTTTTCTCCTTTTAGTGCCTGATTGGGATGACAGGCGGGCGGCAAGACTCCTCCCCGCCACGCCCGAGTTATTCCCATTCCCACCCTATCTTAGACCCAAGCAACACAGCAGGGTTCTGGGTCACAGCCCTTTATTCGGGCAGCCCCCAACATTCTGCCCCAGCAACCACGCCTGCCCCAGCTTCGTTCTCTGGTCCTGCAGGAAGCCTGCGTCGCCTGGGAGCGAGTGTCAGCTCAGGAACTGCCTGGAAGGGAAGAGGAAGAGGACATGGGTAAGGAAAGCCCAGTCCAGCCCCGGGGGACCCCCAGACCTCTGAGAACCGTGGGCGTCCAGGGACTCCAGCCCCAGACCCCGTGCACTCACCTGGCCGACTGTGCAGTCTGCGGCTCCTGCTCCTGGGGAGCCTCCTAGGACCCGAAGTCACGGCCACAGCCATTCTCCCATGGTTCAGGTTGGCTCCCCTTCATCCTGCCAAACAGAGGCGCGTGACCCCGACATCCCCGTGGTTCTGCAGCGCCCTCCCGCCTCCCAGCCTCTCTGCTCCCACCCTCGCGGCGCCCACGTGGCTCGTCCCAAGGTGGCCAAGGCCCAGGGCATCAGTGCCCTTCTGCAGCCCCTGGGCAGAGCCAGGCTCTGCCCTGCTCAGCAGCCTCACGGACTCTGGGCAAAAACTAAGGACAGCAGCGCGGGTCTGAAGCCTGTCAAGCAAGGAACAAAAACATGTCCACAAAGGCAGCACCCGGTGGCTCTGGCCGGCCTCGGGAGGACTGGCAGGAGGTACCACCAGTTTGACCCGACTTCCAGAAAGCAAGGGTCAACCCCAGGCCTAAGTTTCCGTCCAAGTGAGCTATAAATCAGAGGGATGCGACACGAGCGAAAGTGTTACCTCGAGGCACAGGCCAGCTGCACAGAGCTAGCGGGGGGGAGCAGCAGGCGAGTCTCGGAGGGTCTGTGGCTCGCATCTGTCCCCCGAGGGCTGCGGCTTCGGAGGCTAGCAGAGAATGCCTGGAACTGGCGGGGCACAGCCGCTAGGCAGCCTCACTGGCCCTCCCTGTACCCGGCCCTACACTGGCCAAGGCCTCTGCCGCCCCCCTACCCCTCAACACTGCCCACTCCCGTTCCCACTGGGCTGCTTGGGCCTCCCGCACTGCCCTGCCTTCCTAGCTGCTCTGCTGGCCACGGAGCCGCAGCTCAGTGTGTCGGCAATGAAAGGGAAATGGTCAGAGTGAGGTTCGTTTCACACCGTCTTTTAATCGGCTTCGTGAAGCCAAAGAAACTGCGTACAAGAATTCCTTAGCCACTGTGAATACAACATCGATGGAGTATGCATGTCTTCGGTAAAAAAAGGACAATATAAATAAACACTTCCACAGCCTGCTGGACTGCTGTGCATCCCCATGGGCCGCGACCTGTGCCCAATGGGCAGGACCTGCTGTGCTCCGCAGCGGAGCTGGGGAGCTGGAGAGCCATGGCTTGCTCAAATAGAGTCCATTTCATCCCAGGAGGGGTGGGGTGCCAGACTTCATGGGCAACCACACAAAAAAGAAAAAACAATACAACCGAAAAACCCGAAAAAAACAAAAACAAGCAACCAAAAACCCACACAACCCAGACAATTTAGAAAAAACAAAAACCCATGGCTCATTGTAAAAAAGTAAAATCTGAAGTACTTTCAAAAACGTTTTTTATACTGCTTAAAAAGACAGCGCTTCCTTAAAAAGAAAAGTCTGGTCACGAGGCCATCTCGGTCAGAAGCAGGCTGTTGATGGGTCAGAACGAAAAGGACTACAAAAGTGGGAACAAGGTGCTCACTACACAACGTTCAGCGAAGCTCCCCCATCTTAATTACAGCCATGGAAGGACGATCTGGACGCAGAGGGCTTTTACTCGTTGTGTGTAGCTGAGGACAGAAGCGGGACAATGTAAAGGCACTGGAGCTTGTGCTCCGCCCGCACGGGAGGTGGCACAGGGTCCCATGCACCTGGCACCCTGTCCTGTGCGGCAGTTCTGGGAGCTGTGCCCCAGGCTGAGTGGCCTAAGTTGCTGAGGGCACAAGGGTTCACCAAGCCCAACCGCAGGCCACTAAGGTGGCGTCCTTGGAGCCAGACTTACCATAACTGTCATAGCTGTCTCTGTAGGACCCGCCCGAGCTCCGGTAACCATAGCTGCCACCCTGACTCCGGCTGTGGAAGGACACACGGACACTAAAGGGCACATGCCTAGCAACATTGGGCTTAGCCCTGCACCAAGTGCAGCTGGCAAGAGTGGGTTCCTAGTGGGGGCTGCTTGCCCTGTACTGAGGCCCTGGTGCCAGCTGGGTATTCAGCAGAGAACAAAACAAAAACACCTGTGCCCTTCAGCTGGGGCAACCCTCCCTCTGCTCATAGCCTAGGCCCAGCTGCTGTCACCAAGGCTGAGTCATCTCCCTGGGGCTCCCATCTGGCTCACCTGGCATAGTAGTCTCTGGAGCCTCCATAACCTCCACTCCGGGAATCAAAGCGGCCACCTCCATAGCCTCGGTCTCCCCCACCTGTAGATGACAGAACAGTCAGGGAGTCCCTACAGCAGTCCCACCACCAGTCCGAGGCCCTCAGCACTCACCTCTAGAGAACCCACGGCCCCGGCTGCGTCCCCCGCGGAAGAAGCCTCGGCCTCCAGAGGAACCACCCCGGTATCCCCGGGACCGGTTGTCAGAAGACTTGCCAGCCTGGTCAACTCGGATCTGCCGCCCATCCACAGACTGCCGAACAGAGGGAGGGTCAGCATGCCTACTCCACACCAGACCCATGCAGCCCAAACTGGCTGACTTGATCCTCACCTTCCCATTCATAGCCATCATGGCGTCCTTAGCGTCATCAATGTTCTCAAAGGTGACAAACCCAAAGCCTCGGGATCGCTGGGTCTCCCTGTCCTTTACCACCACCACTGTAAGGGAGAGTCATTAGGTTGTGCCCAGTCTGCCTCAGAGCAGAAACCAAGAACGGTGCTCCCTTACCCAAGTCTCACCTTCAGAGATCTGCCCGTACTTGGAGAAGACCTGCTCCAGTGCCTGCTCGTTGGTATCGAAGCTTAGCCCTCCCACGAAAAGCTTGCCTTCGTCTGATGCCATGGCAGCCTGCACATACCACAAATGTTTTGCCTTAACCCCTCCTCCACAGACTGAAGCCAGATAGCATACTCAGCCTTTTTAAGCTTTTGAGACAGGACCTCCCTTCACAGCCCAGGACGGCCTTGGAATTCCCTGCATGAGTGTAAGTGCTAGGATGCTGCAGTCCCGAAAGCTGAGGAGTCTCCTGCCCCTTCCTTCTCTATGTTTGTATACAGAAGTGACCCATGATCTTCCTGGGGAACCTGGCTCACACCGTCATCCAGCCACTCAGGTGGAAACATCAGACAAAGGACTCTGTGGAACAGCTTGGGACTGTTTGCAAACACTCCTATCATCCCAGCCTTTGGGATATGGAGGCACAAGGGTCAGAAGTCCAAAACCAATTGCAACTACACAGCAAGTCTGACACGAGCCTCAGCTACATGCTTCATCTCAAAACCAGACACAAGTAAGTCTTTTCGGCTCTATCATCCCAAACCCACATCTAAGACTGTCATATAACTCAGGCTGACTGTAAATGGTGGTTCTATTGCTTAAGACAGTGAATTCTAGACGGGCCGTGGTGGCGCACGCCTTTAATCCCAGCACTCGGGAGGCAGAGGCAGGCGGATTTCTGTGAGTTCGAGACCAGCCTGGTCTACGAGAGCTAGTTCCAGAACAGGCTCCAAAACCACAGAGAAACCCTGTCTCGAAAAAGCAAAAAAAAGAAAAAAAAAAAACAAAGACAGTGAATTCTAGCCCATTTCCTTCAGTGGGTCTTCATTAGTCCTGTCCAGAGAACTCCAAGGTCTAGATCACCCAGCCAGAATGGCATGCTGGAAATTTATTCACTTTACAAGAGGATGAGTGTGGTTGGGGACAGAGATGGCAGCGACTTCCTAGCCTCACCAGCTGACAGTTGGGTCAGAGAAGCTTCATCACTGAAATATGTTTTTGGGTGCTGTCAGGGAGCTGTGATACTTATGGGATGCATCCTGGGACCACAGCCCACTCATCAACCAAGGACTAGAGAAGTGCTTTTTGCTCGTTGGACTCCGAGAGAGGAGGTTGGCCTGAGAGGCGTGGCTATAGAGGGGCGTGGCATTTTAACAAAGTCGTTATTGGCTGGGGAGAACGAAGACCTAATGGCTTGGAGAACAAGTCCACTATAGTATTCCTGGGCCACTATACCTGGGAAAAACAAATTTGGGACGTAAAAGGGCAACATTCAAAACTACATGTGCTTTTTTTTCCCCTTGTGAAACCACACGGGGAAGACGGAACCGAGGCACAGCCACCTGGAGTAACTGGTCACAGGCGACCCAGCTCCACATCGGCGGACAACGGGGCTCTGGAGCTAGGCGCGCCCCGCCCACGGAGCAGCGCATGCGCCACGCGCACACCCTGCGCCATTCCATCCGGGCACTCCGCAGTCCCGCCATTTCGCCGGCAAAGCTTTTCAAAGCCTCACGGCCGCCATTTTACAAAGCCCACCATTAAGTCGGCATCAGCCCGGGGATGACGCGCGGTGGAGGACGCCCTCCGGAAAGCGTGAAGTCCCGGTGTCCCGCCGCCCGCCTCGCCGCCGGCGGGGTGGACTCCAACCCGGGCCCGCCCCCAAATCCCAGGGGCGTGCCGCTGCGGCTCCGCCTCGCCCGGGAGTCACAGGCCGCCCGCCGCCCCGGGCCCCTTAGAGCCGGTGCCGCCAGGGCCCTCACCGCTGAGTCGGGCAGGTCCCTGACGCGGGCGGGAAGACAGCGCGCCACACACACCCAAGCCTCCTAACGCGCGAGTGCGAGGGGGAGCGCCCGAGTCCCGCCTGATATACCCCTCCCCTGGGGCCCCGCCCACTACGCCGCGCTGACCAATCCGACGCGCCAGACTCGGCAGCTCCGCTCTAGTGGAGGGGCGGGACTGTCCCGGCTTCGCTCTTGCCCGCGCGGAGGCGCTGAGCGTTCTGATTGGCTGCCACGTGCCCAGGCGGCATTCTCCCGCCCGCTAGCGGCCAGGGGGCCGGGACAGCGCGTTTTGGGGGCGGAGCTGACCCACTTCCGCGTTCCCCGCCCGGTTGGCCTGCGGCGGGGGAACAAAGAACTTCCAGGCTTTTGCTACCTCCGTGGGACTCACCGATAAGGCACGGACCTTGACACATCGACTTCACACTTCTCCAGTCTTTTTTTTTTTCTCCCGATATTTTTATTACATTTATTTAGCTGAAGTGCGTGTGTGGAAGCCAGAGGACAATTTTCTGGAGTCTCTCCTTCCATCCTGAGGACCAAACTCAGCATTAGCGGCAAACGCCTTTACCCATGAGCCATTTCCTCTAACCCGAATCCATCTGACTTCCCTAGTGTCTCCCGATACAACTGACGCCTAGGCTCCCCGACATCCCATAAGTCATCCCAGTATTGGGCTCCTCTTCAGACTTGTTGCGGTACCTCACGTGCACCCAATTTAGTTTGCTCCATGACTGCCATTTGAACCCTGGTTTCTGCCCTCCCCCAAGCAGGTGCACATCACACGGCTGCTAGAGCGCCTGCATCCCGCACTACGATCGAACCGGGGGCCTCAAGCAAGCCTGAGCCATACCCCCATCCCCTCACTGGGGGATTCTAGGCAGGGGCTACACAGACCTATATCCGTAGCTTTCTTAAAAGTACACATATGCCAAAAGCTACGGAGAAACCCTGTCTCGAAAATCCAAAAAAAAAAAAAAATACACGTGAAAAAAACAAAACAGAACTGCATTTTTATGTATATGGGTGTTTTGCCTGAATGTCTGTATATCATGTGTCTGCCCTGTGCCCACTGAGGCCGTATTTGGTTACAGTTGTGAACTCTATGTGGATGCTGGGAATTGAACCCAGGTCGTCTCTAAGAGCAGCCAGTATTCTTTACCACTAAGCCCTCCTAAGTTTCCTGGCCTGTCCTTGACCTCTGTAGCCCCAGCCTACGAAGTGGCTGGGATAATATCCTCAACGCCGGGCCACAGCATGGCATCTCCTTTCACGATATGGGAGGACCTGGTTGGCCTCTAACTCAGGCAATTCACTTCTTACCACGGCAGTGCCTTCTGCCCGAGGGAGCAGCTGGTGGCGACCTCTCCCCAGATGTGCTGAGGGTGTGATCTGCTGACATAGAGGACCAAAGCAGCTCAAGCCTGCTCCAAGCCCCAGACTCACTGACCCTTGAATGATGTTGGTCGAGGTGACCCATCTGTGCCCAGGAGGAGGAGGATGCCAGAACCCCTCAGGGACAGAAAGCTCCCTCCTCCTAGATGGCAGCTGGTGACTCATGACCACCCCCTCTGCACCTCACTCCCCCCCCCCTCGGCACTCAGCCCTCCTATCCCCGTCAGAGCAGCCTGCTGCGTCAGCCACTCACGCAAGGAGGTTATTAAAAAGAGCTGAGAAACCAACATGCCTTCCCTCCCCTCAACGCGCACCATCCAGGAGGGGAGGGGACCGTGCTTCGCAGGAAATGCTGGACTGCAAGCCAGCCGAGCCAGAAATAAGGCAGCCCCCATGTGTGCCCCCTCCCGGAGGGAAAACTGGATCCCTGTAATCCCAGCTCCCAGAGTCATGCTGGGCCCCTGGTCTCGTTCACATTATGAGACCTTCCAGTTCCTGGTTTTGGGAATTGCCATATTCATTCATTGATTCATTCATTTAACCGGCACCCACTTAATAAGCTTATTACCAACCAGCTCCTTTGGGCCGGACTCCACCAGTACCCAGGGCCATTTCGAATCCCCAGAAGGGCGAGCAAATATATGTGACCCGCGGATACCGCTCCAATTGGCATCTCTTGAGTCTCTGGTGTACTTGTGTCAAAAGTGTGTCCCCGTGCACTTACCTGTGTCCACATAGCCAGGTGGCTCAGCGTGCCACCATGACCCTTTGTTTATTTTGGTGGGCTTTAAAAGGAGCTGGAACCCTCTCTCTCACACACACACACCCCTCCATCCACGCAGTGAACCCCTGCCTTAAAATGGTGCTCGGTGCTTGACAGGACACGAGAGGGCGCTGCAACCTCGGCTGGAGCGTTCAGGACCGCCGTCCCGCCGCCTCTTTCTGTAGGGTCGCCAGCTACTTGGCCACCTGACGTCGCTGCCCTGGACAGCCATCGCAGACAGAGACCAGGACAGTGCCGGTTTAAAATCGCCGTGCCCAGCTCGCAGGCGGCTTTCCTGTACAAGAGATCAGAATAGCTGGACTCCATGCCCGAGGTTCACTCCCGCGTGTCATGGCAGTGCGCTTGGCCAAGAACTCACCCGTCGGGTCCATCGTGTGTGCTCCCACTGGGGCCGTCTTGAATCCCAACTGACTTATAAATCCGAGGGATGCAGGATGCCACCTGTACCCCTTGAAGGCGAGCTCACTCAATCTGTAGTTCCTGGCACCGAGCTCGGCTCCTGGATGTCGCTATGGAGACGATGAGGGGCACCGCGCCCACCCATCCCCTGCCAGGTCCTCCCCCGACCTGAGCTAATGACCGGGCGGGAGGCAGTAATGAGCGTCTGGGTTGGGGACGGGCGTGGCCCGGGATGAAAGGCGCTTGTGTGGGGGCACCCTGGGGCCGCGTAATTACCGCCCCCTTCTCGGCCTGGCGGGGGCCAGGGACTCTGCACCTGGCCTCTGCCCGGCGGGGGTGCACAGTGGGACTGTGATGGCCAAGCCTGGTGCCCGTCCTCGGGGATCAGTGCCAGGGTGGAGATGCAGTCTGTGTGTGTGTGAGTGTTGCCAGGTGTGGCGCACATGTGTGCACGTGGGCAGGAGACCCGTGAAGATTTGGAGAAACATCTGGCTTCCGTGGACGGGGAAGCGGGTTTGTTCCGTGTGTGGTTAATTTTGCACGGCTGACCCGCGTTCCCTAAGGACAGGGTGGGTGGACGGGGTGCTGCGATGCTGACAAATGCGTGCACGACCTGGATGTAGATGTTCAGGGCAGGGCTAGGTGTGCGTGACTGGGGTAGGTGCTAATGGAGCCATCTCTGCTTGCTGGCATGACTCATGTTCCAGGGGTGGGCACGAGAGCTGTGTCAGAGACACCCAGGGCCTCCCAATTAGTGTAGCTAAAGTCCAGAGCCAGCTGTAGGAGTTGAACTTGCCTTTTCCTGGTGGGCCTTGAGCCCTCAGGCGGCCCCAGGTGTCTGAGGAGAGGGCTGGCCTCCTGCCACCCAGAGGGCCTGCTTTCTGCTTCTGGACAGGTCTGCAGCCAGGGGCACTAGGCCCAAGTTTTTCTGACTCATCCCTCCCCGCAGCCCTGAGTCACACCCCAGGAATGGGAATAAGAAAGCTTGGGAGGCCTGGCCCCTGAGGTTCTGGCTCAGACTGGGCCTTGACCGGCAAAGGGACGCCCCAGCCAGCGCACACATCCTATGACAGACCATGTTATACACGTGCACACCCTCATCCTCTGCCTCAGACCCGCCAGGCTCAGTCACAAACTCAACATGCCTTTGGCATCTGGTAGATCGCCTTCCTTAGGGCTTCCCATACCTGCTTGTCTGTCTTCTATAACAGCTAGGGCTGGGACAGAGCAATGCAGCGCAGGGGCATGTGGACACACGCACCCATCCACAAGGTCTGTATCAGATGGCCAAAACCCATGAGTGACCCTGTAATGACACCCAGGAAACCCCAGAAGCTAGGTGGCTCATCTGCCTGGGAAATGACCTATTTGGGTTTCTGCAGGATGGAAGGGAAGAGTTGTAGGGTATCTACCCCCAGGGGTCCTCAGATGTTTCTTGCCAAAATCCTTCTCCACCTTCATCATCCCAGGGCAAGAAGAGCCACCCCTGTCCTCTCAGTGTGCCCAAGCACATACGTGACTCTGGCATGGCTTCCCATGCAGGGGAAAGCACAGTCTCCGGGCAAGCAGAGAGAGAGAGAGAGAGAGAGAGAGAGAGAGAGAGAGAGAAGAGAGAGAGAGAGAGGCTTCTGCCTGGGGCTGGAGGCCTGTGGTACTTCCTCTGCATTTAGCTGCATGGGGATAGTTACAGGTCATGAAGCATCTATCAACCTCAGGGTGCCCAGAGGGTCTCCGTGCAAACAGATGGCCCTTGAACCCTTGGAACACCTGTCCACCCAGCCGCAAAGGGTCAGCTCTGGGTAGGTGGCACCCGGGCACCTCTCTGGCCTCATGCTTCATCTGAGGAGTGAGTGGGACCTGGGGAGCCTCCAGGGTCTGAAAGGGATTGGGTCAAGGGCATCTGCTGAGTTTCCTTCCTGCTGTCCTATGGGCAGCTAATTCCGCTGTCACTTAACTGCCCCAATTTGAGTGTATTTCCAACATTCTGCAAAAGACTTTCCTTTTTGGGTGTGTGTGTGTTCAGTCCTGGCTGTCCTGGAACTCATTTTGTAGACCAGGCTGGCCTCAAACTCATAGAGATCCTCCTGCCTCTGCCTCCCAAGTGCTGTGATTGAAGGCATGTGCTACCACTGCCCGGCAAGACTTTCCTTTTTTGTTGTCCTTGTAAGACAGGTTGTCCCTGAAATCTCTCTGTAGTGCAAAGTAACCTAGAAATCCTGACCCCCCCCCCCTTTATCTCTAGAGCCCAGATGACTGGCTAACAAAAGGCAGCCACTTCCTCAGCGCACACCTGTGAACACTCCTGTTTCCCACCAGGAAATGACTACAGAGGACTGGTCACAAGGCAGTGACCTTGGTGGCCTGTGGGTATTTAATGAGGGAGGGTGTCCTGGGCAAACATTCCAACTTTCTGGGCTGGAGAGCTATCTTGGAGGCTAGCACAGCTTCTGCTCTTCCAGAAGACTTGGGTTCGCTTCCCAACATGGTGGCTCACAACTGTCTGTAATGTAACTGCAG